ATCTATCCTGTCTGAGGCTCCGGAAATCACCTCTGCTCAAGAATTGCTCTTGGTTCGGAGGTTGATTCGATCAAATCGGGATAGTACCTTAGCATCAGACAGGGAGCACTCAGTAGAGGCGCTTCTTTCCGTCAAGGCGAGCATACTTCCAGCGATTCTGCTGACTTTCCCATGCCCTTCCGTCAACCGTGTCGACGGTGAGTCATTTGCCACTGACCAGCGTTGAGTGCATTTACGTCAAAGGAAATTCGTCGACGTACCTAGATAGCGAGTTCCGTGGGTCACAACAGTGATTCCGACTAGGGGCGCCTTTCGGGGAGCGATCTAATCCATCTCCCCCTTCAATCATGTCAAATGTATTAGTATCTCCATATGTAGCATCCTCTGGTCAATATATGTATCCTCGAACAATCGAGGTTTCAGCGAACTTCCTAATTCTGTACCGATTCGCCTATGAGTCAATGACCTCGGGCGGATGTGGGTTTCGATTCCGCTCCTCGAGGTGTGTGCTGAGACATTCTCAGCTCGGTCGAGCTGTTTCCCTGCACAATAATACCACTCACATCGAACTCACCATTCGGGATCCTCACGCCACGCGTTCCCTTGACAACCGACGCTCCAATTACAGGGGCTAAAAGTAGTCGAACAGCAAGCAGTCTATTTGAGGAGGTCGCAACCTGCGGCGGACATGGAAAATCCGACGAGCTGTCAGGTAACTTGCAGGTATAATACCGAGCGGTTCGCGAATCGAGCAGAGCCGAATCAGCTCGTCCTACAACTCCTACTTCTCTATAGGAAATCCGTCTTTATTCGGAGACGAGCTCTTCCTCAAGGGTCTCCGCGTATGAGCTGTCAGGGCTCCGGTCCCTCAAAGTCTCTGAGGATTTGAAGACCTCCGAGAAACTTCCAGATTCCCCTTGTCTCCAACGTCGGCTGTCGACGTTGTAACTAGGCTCAGAAGTCTGACGACGAAATAATACGTACTCTCGGGACGACGACGTCTGGATTCCTATGAAGATCATTCAATTCCACGTCTCGAATGTCGACGAATGAGCGAGCGCGCCGACGACCGTATCGCAGCAGTCTGTCACCATGAGGTCACCAAGCTCGCGATGACGTCAAGCGAGTGAGCTCTCTGTTCAGATCTGGCACTTCGAGATTGACATCAAGGGTTAGCAACGCAAGACTTGTGTGGCCATCTGCCTCTGACGTACAGCGTCACCTTGATCGCGAGTCGCTTTAATCGATTTTCGTCCCGGTAAACAACTAAAAATTGCATGATTCGCTCAATTAATCAAAGTCACGGCTGATATCGCCCGTTGATACGCGATAAGCAGGTTTTCGGTAAACATCCTCTAGCATACGTGAATTCTCCGAGAGAATCTCGCGATAATATACGATATTCCGGAAGTTTGGAATAATTATCAAGGAGGGCATTGATTCGCGGGCACTTATCGGGGTTTTGCGGGGAAAAAAACCGACGCGCAGGGGTCGAGCGCCGATTTCTCGGCGCACTGAGCTAAATTATGTTTTTTCTCGCCCGTTTCTCCGTAGTGACGCTATTCATCGGGCCAAAGGCTTGAGAATCATGGGGTACTGTGAACCCGTCCGGCGGCTCGAGAAAGGGCGACCCCGTCGATCCGACCGAGGCGAAGTCATTGCCGACGGGCAAGCGGCGAAAACCTTGGTAGCTGGATTGGTATATGGTACTTCTCCGCTCTTACTTCCACAATTCGTCCAATGCTCGCAGGAACCTCGGCTCCTGAGAAACTTGAAAATTGCTCGCGATTGGGCTCTTGGAAGAATATCATTTATTCACCCCAGGTCATCTTGCCTGAGATTCTCAGAATGACCACGAATTCTAGATGGCTGGATATGCGTCCAGAATTCCAGGAGCGTCGGCCTTTCTTATTTCATCCCCCCCGTTCCTAGTCATAAGCATTTCGAGACGAGAAATGCGGGGGTGCGGGATTCACTTCGACCACCTGACCCTCACAGTTCTACCGAGCTGAGCAGTTATCTGTGACAAACACGAATGAGGGGACGACGAGCGACGAAATCAGTTTATGAGAGAAAATATAAACACATCGATGCGATTTGAGCGTTCCCGTCGAAAAACTCATATCTGTTCGAGTGAAGAGCTACCGAAGTTCTTGGATAATGCATCATGCATATGAGATTCAGGGCACGCGACCCAGTTTGAAGCTCACTCAATGAGCCGGTTGCTCTCGTTTTCAGCTGTTTCTAGAGATTAGCCCGAGCAACAATTGGCAACTAAGTCAAGCGCCCACGTACTCGGTTCCGAAGCAGCGAGGCCGTCGCGGTGATGATGAAGCGAGGAGGAAGTCAGGTGATCGATACGCCCGTAGGAACCGGCGAAAAAGAGTTCGCCAGCAACTGTGCAGATGAAACGGAGAAGAAGTGACCGACCCAAACTTTCTGCCTGTGCTAGCCGAGTTGTCGCCGCGTCTCCAAATTCGTGGGTCCGGTCTGCAGGCATCAGGTTTCGTGTCGACTGGGAGTCTGTTCAGACAAGGACGGAATGAAGCTTCCATTGCCTAATTAGAATCTATCGATCGACGGCTGTCAGACGCATAAGCGACCGCGGCTGAGTATTATCTCCAGCTCGAGACTGTCTCGAAAACGAGAGAGTTGCTGACGGCGCGGCGTTCTAAACAAAGAACAAACGCATGATTGCTTTCGTGTGGGCTTTTTCCGTCCTTCTCGCTCACTTAGTGGTTCGCAGAGTGGTCAGACACCCTCAGTCAGACGAACCGAGCGATGGCTGGAACCGCGAATACTCTCTGGACGGCTGAAGACACCGATGCCGTTCTGCTGTGTTTACAGACATAACGCGGCAGTGGTTGCGTCGAATTTCCGTTGAACAAATCCACGAAGTCAAAGCCGGCTTCGTAGCTCCCGTGGCAAGATCCCGGCCGTAGCAGGCGTCCGTCTGCCCCGAGATTCTTCTGGTCGCCTCCCTACAGCGAACACATGCGTAATAATGTTCAACGACAATGTTTCCTAGCGGAGCGAACTTGAATGAAGTATTTCGCTGGAAGGGACCGTCTGGCCGCGATGCTTTACTCGTTGAAAATAACTCTCTGTCCGTTGACATACGAGCAAGGTGCGTTCCATTCGAGAGTAGACCGATTGTTGGGAGCGAAGACGTCAGCAAACATGAATTATGCAAAATTGACTGTGCGCAGAGGGCCAATGTAAAGTAGGTTTTTGTTGGCTCCTCAATATCCGGTCGCGAGCAACAAGTCTTTGCAAGGATCTTGGGGTCAGATCATTATTTGTTGTCAGGCGCCACCGCGGGTCCCGTAATGTATTCGGTGGTCAGGGTCGTCGTTGTGTTCGTGGTCAGGCACGACTTGTTTGGGGAACTAGCAAGCCACATCAGGAAAAATAAGAAACTAGGAGAACTGAAGAGATCTGCATTGTTACGACAGCCAGTAGAGTATACGTAAGGCCGGAGAATATTAGCCAGGGACGCCCACGTGTTCTCGCGGGAGTGTTCAAGTCGGGCGAAATGGTTCGTCACGTGCGCGTGGTTGAAAGGCAGACTTGTCGGCCCTAGACAGACTGGAGAGAACTTGGAATCTCTGAGGACGTAAAACAAGTTTTTGCGCTGGGATCCTATGCCTACGTCTAAGAGCTGATTCCATGAAGACAAAGCTCGAACACCGCTCTGTGTAGAGCCTGAATCGCGCAGTCGTGTGATAGTGGGAGTTTTCGCTGAAAATCTGGACCTGAAAACTCGGCTATGGAGCCCCGCTCATGGAGGACAATCGATTGCTCAACCTGGTCGAAGTTGACTAGTTCCCGGAAATTCGCTCCGAACCTGGATCCAACAAATAGTTTGACCGATACGGCGCGGCGTTGAGTCCTTGCGGGCGAATCGCGCATCCCCTCAGGGAAAACGACCTTCAGATGAGAGCTGTGCGTCAAAGGGTTCGATCAAATCAAATGAGCATCACGAGCTGCTCGAGCAAATGAGAACGTCCCAGAAAATCCTGCCACAGACACCAAGGTCGGCTTTCCAGACCACGCGCATCAGAAAAACTCTCCCAGCATTCATAGGTTGGGACCGAAGCTTAAGTGACTATGAGGGGAAGTTTCAGGAACGGTTCCGATGTGTTCCTCCGGAAGATGGTCTCACGACCTCACCAGTGGAAATCCCGAGTTTCGGCAATTAATACGGAAACAAGAAGCACTAGACGGGCTTGGAGGATCCGAGGTTCATTCTTCGTTACTGCTTTCATTGACGCAAATTCGTTCGAGGATGTCGACTACCGGGGTGATGCGGCTAACAAGAAAGATTGTCGGTCTCCATGGCTCCCAGGGCGTTCTTCCCTATCGCGAAACTTTCTCAATCAACCTTGTTTTTTTACCACGACACTCACCATGACCCATGACCCCAACTTTCCGCAAGCAGTTTGAGAAGCTCAAGGGTTTCATTTCAGCGCATGCTCCATCCGGCTCGATGACTCGTCGTCAACTGATAGGAGCCGAAAATTTACATAAATATGCCAACAAGGCGCGTAAGCAGGATTATGCCTCGGCAGGGGGGGCTAGACCGTGTTTGGATGGCGCCGAGATTCGCCACTGAATAAGAGGCTGTCACAATCATATCGAGTTGAGTCGAGGGAGTTAATATCACTCTTCCTATCTACATGAACCCGGACACCCATTTTCAGGACATGAATGACCCGATATCGAGGAATCAGATGGCGAATATCTTGAGGTGAAAGTTGGTGGATGGTCACGTCCCTACCCAGAAGAATCTAGGATCCAGCGTCCGGATCCGCACACAATCATCAGGAATGGAATCGCGCTTTCATATCTCGGATTCAACTGAGAGAATGTGGAAACACGTGACCTCAGTGGCTCTCGCCATGGTGGTCAGCCCCCTCAACCCGGCTAATCGAAAAGCTGCTAAAGTAAAAAGACTGAAACGAAAACTAAAGACTGAAAAAGCGAATCAAGTGATTCTGTACAATGACGCTGGACTTTATTACCGAGAACAGACTGAGTCTGGAAGGATAGGGTCGAACAGTGAAGAATCTCTTTCATTTTACAACACAGCGTTACGTGCTGCTGTTCAGTTTGCTCTCATAATTTACGCTCTTACTCGACCTGGAGCTCCCGTTGCACCTATCCTGTCAACCGTTGAATCTATCCGCTCCGGATCGATTCCAATCGGCTCTCTAGAAGCCGCCACCGCTGAGGATGGCCCCGAAACCGAAAGTTCGTTTGATGGCATCGAAATAGTATCTGCAAATAATTCAGAGATATTCGTTTAGCACAGTATTCCTCGAGTTCCCGGAAGCATTTCTCGCGTTCGGGTGCCGCGTGCGCTGCCGTCAATCATAACAGGGGGAGTCAACAGCGTCCCTGGCAGAGCTATTCCGAACGCGATTTAGCCTATCCCACGGAGAAATTAGCCCTGGCCCGGATCCCCATATCGGCACCGATAAGAATCATTCCTGCAAAATACTGACCTCTGCCAACCGGCTCTGGTGCGTTCCAATTCCGCTTCGGGGACTCCTTCCTGGATCATTTTCAGTTTCGTCGAGTCGTTTGTCTGGGGAGAAATAGAGCAGTCTGTCACAACCTATTCCTCCTCATATGATCGCACTACTTGTTGTAGAGTGGCAATCGACGGCAGAATGTGTCTTTGCCTGATCGGTAGAGCCCTGGAACCCTCAGGGATACTCGACGAGGAGCCTACTTTTATTCCCGGAACGTCATTAGGGAGCAGTTCCGGAAGAAGAATGAGACTCGGTACTCACTTGATCAAGAGTCATCGAGACCTTCGAGTAATGTTCCGCAGGCCAGCTCTTGAATCTCCACGAGAACTCCAGCCGGTCTGGCGGATTGAGGGTCAGAAACTTCCCCGAAACATTGGTATCGAGCATGAGGATCTTGCCACCTATCTCCGCCACGATCTCTGCGGGACCTTGACTGAACGCCTGAACCATGTCTTGGACAGTGAAGACTCTGGAACAAGATTGGACTATCAGACATGACTTCGCACAGAGATGCAACCTATGCGTAGATCGACTAATGAGTTCAGGAATCGTTCGAAGAACTCCGATCATAAGATGAAACATGTCGTCGGGCTATTAATAATAATCTACAGAATAACTTTTGTTCTCACCTGTAGAGCTCATAGGCAGTGCATTTGAATTCTTCTTCCATGGTCAAGTTTGTGGTGTTTATCTTCACTCCTGACGTTCCCGCGTCTTGTTTCGGGGGATGATACGTGCTAGTCTTGTTCAACCCAGTTTTTCCCTGTGGATACCACCGGACAATGTTAACAGGATCCCCCATGTAGGTTGGGAATTTCGACCTTTGAGCGAGCACACCGGGAACGAGGAATTTTGACTCGCGGAAGCGTCGTCGAAGAATTTGTCGTCGAGACCCTCACCTTCGTGGAGGTGACATTCAGGTTTCCGCCCTTGGTGGGCAAGATGAGACCTTGGCTATAGTCGGCTCGCAGGGCGTTGAGATAGTCTGATAACTTGTCTCGGATCACGTCGACTCCTTTGCTCCTGTAAAATACCGACGATCAATTTTAAGATCAGCTGAGGTACTCCCCGTTGAACCAGCAGATGTGATGATCGAGCTCTAACACCTGATTCAGACTCGAGCCTCGCGCTCCGGTGAGCTCGGAAGCTCCGGCAGACTTCGTTCTGCATTCACTCGCGGTCGCGATGCACACAATAAAGCCACCGCACCCCAAGGTCTCACCTCATCATGGCTTTGATCTTCTCGGCTACGAAGCCGCTTGTGGGATCGGAGAGCATGACGTCGATGACGATCTCATCAAGATCATTCTCCTCGGACAGATTTGGTATCTGGGGGGAAACTTCTCTTAAGTCATGAGCCGGATTTCGGATTCCCGACTACGGGATCGCCTCCAAGCCAGATGTAAGCAGAAAAACGGTGACGAAGCCCGCAGAGAAACTCACCTCAACCTTCCCTTTGACGACTTCATCGCTCCCTGCACATCTTCCCTCCCAACTCAATTCCAAATTTAAATCATAAATGAAAATCAGCTTCGCCTTCCTATTATTGACAACGGCATCACCTGTTGAGGGATGGGGAATTACGGACTCCATTATACGACATGGACCACTAAAATCCATCATGAGCTCTGAACGTCCTCGCCGACTCGAGCAGGGTGGGACATGAACGACGTATATTTCCTCAGCCCGTCGTCAACTTGGCCCGAGGGCTGGACTTCGGGATAGCTCATGAAATCTCCATTATCGATCAATGACAAAATGATTTCGGATCTTTAACATCAGGAGTAGAGGACAAACCTTCGAATTTGCTCACTTCGGTTATCGTGACAGATAGAATAGTGTCTTCGATTTCTAGATTAGTGAACAATGCGTTCAGTTTGTCCTTCGACCATTGCGTTGCATCCTTCTCAGTCCTGTGGAAATGTGAGATAATGTAATTCTTCATGGAAGAAGTTTGTTCGAATTTCGCAAAGGCTGAGGATGGTTCCAGGAAACATCGAGTTGGGTTGCGAGACCTCCTAGCTTGAGGGCTCAGATTCGATCTCAACTGACCAGTGCCAATTATTAACATTGGTAGCATCGGGACGCTCCTCGACAATCCAACGAGGGTCTCCTTCACCCCACTTGGCCATCTGAAATAGAACGATTGTGTATTACAGAAGAAGCTCAACACAAGGAAAAGACTCTGACGGAAGGACGATGTGTCAGATGTTTTCCCACAAGAGACATCGAGCGGACGAGTCCCGCGACCTCTGGGGGCGCATATTCTTTTTCCGGGCTCCCAATCTCAAGCTCCGCGCGCATAGGCAGAGGAGCCGGCAGCATTTATGATGGAATCACGACGAGCTCTCAGATTCGAATGTTCCGAAATAATTCACGTTGACCGAGTTTGCACCGAATTTCTTGATCCTGGTACTAACCCTTGTATCCTCTTGGGGTCACTGCCGTAAAGTCAGGAGCTTCACACGCGATTTTATTCCGAAAATCCGAATGGGGCCGAGATTGACCACTCACAGGGACCACACCGCTACTGGCGAAAGTTACACAGCCGGGGCCGGGAATCGTCTAGAAACCTCTGCGCGGAAGACACAATACGAATGCGTTCATTCGTGATTTTTCCCAGTGGCGCTAACTTTCGTAGCCGCTTAGCGCTCACGGAGCCCAGGCTAGCGTGGACTCAGCCTAAGAAGAGCCCGTCTCCTTCCTATAACAATCTAAATACTTGGGATTGGTTTTAGCACTCTTCAAGTACACCAGTCATTGTCCGACATGACATTTGCTTCATTCAGAAGACGGATGAAGTATAGTATTCAGTGAATCCACGAAGATGCTCCACCTCAACCGCGAGCTGCGCCCGATTTACCGCATGGCTCTCCTTTCTCGGAGATTCATTCCGCACAGAAACAGCGCTGGAACGCTGGCTTCCGTCGAGAGTTTCCCCGTTTTCGGAGGGATCTCAGGCTCCTAGGCGCGGTTGTAGACGGAAAATGTATGGCCCGAGTCTCAAGTCTGATAGCGCTCAAGTCGAAAATAGTTGCTTCCCTGATTCGGCTTGGAAAAATCATCGATACGATGATTTGAGCCGAATCGTGAGAGGGGAGGAAAGTTATATTGATCAAGCTGCTCAACCAGGATATCGTGGACTCCCAGGGGAAGGCGTCACTCGGTGCCAGAGTGCGACTGATCCGAAATCCGAGAGGAGCATCGATTGAGGTCAAATTCGTCGGGCTTGCCAGGCTTCCGCGAGGATCCACGTTCGCGAAGATCAACTCGGTGCTCCAGATTCTCGATTCGCAGGATTGGGAGTGTACCGTGGAACGCTGGCATGATGAGGCACCGATTGAGGAGTGATGGGGGGAAGCCGCTCGTGCTGTAGATCAGCCCAGACAGAGCGTAGAGCATAGATGCATTGGATGGAGCAGGGAAATGTACCCACCCAATACGTACGTTTAGTTCCCCAGGAAGGCCCTCACGGCGTAAATACGATGCTGATGATGCGGACGAGCTTTCTCGAGGCACCCATCTGGTGGGATATTCATGGTATTCGTAGATGATCTTCTATGATTGTCGAGCTTCGCGCGCAGTCATCGAGACCTATGACTACTGATGTGAACCTGATCTCCCCGTGCTCGGCTCGGGGTTCGAGCTGCCGGTCCAGGTTGTACAGAGGATCGTCTTCCAATTCGAAGAAAGGCAGATTCCGGAGTCCTCTGAGAGCACTCCCTCGACACCGTCCTTACGTGCGAGAGATCCGCCGGTGAAGCGAATTCCTCACCTCAGCAGGGATCATCGTCATCATCGAGGGGTGTCGCATCGTCTGCGAGGCGCCTCGAGCTTGACTCTCGGATTTGATCGGGAGGTCTGCTCGAGCTTCCTCCGCAACTTCGCCCGCAATCAGGGAGAGATCTCCATTTTCCCCTCGATTAGGGGCTCCCTCAATTCATTGGAATGCGCCGCTCCAGAAGCCAGGGGAGCGTCGGGCGGTGCTGCCAGTACCAGGCGCAGAGAGCTGCAGCAGCGGCTTCCGAAAAGTACCACACTCCTGCAATCGACGAATCCTTCGATCTCCTCGACGAATAAGGCTCAATCCGCATTGCCTCAATCGAGAAACCATGGCCTGTGCATCGAATGACTCCGTCCGCGAGGATTTCGCTGATGAGCTACCCGAAGAATGACAGTCAAGGCTCGTTTCTGTGGCTGTTCACAGTACCACACGGCGGGTTCCCTCTCCCCGGCGTCTTGAAAAGCCACGTTGGCTTCAACCAGGTCCTTTTCTTGCGCAGAGACGATGGTGAGTGCCTCGTGTGCGAAGATTCCACTGATTTCACATTACATACAATGTTTCGTTTTCTCCGATGATCGTTGCAAATCGTTGGGTGTCGTCACCCGTCGTTTCCGTGCGGAGAAACGAATGAGTTCGCGGCTCATACGCGACGATCCGTGGTTTCCTGGTGGAGTCCGGCATGCGGCAATCTTGCGAACGGCTCCGTACTCGATCTCTTTGGAGTCGTCTTCAATTTCGTGCTGCAGAATCCTGCTCACGAACTGTGAGACAAAGAGGGCTGTTTTACGTCGGACTCGGCGGAATGCCCAGTGCCTATGGTTTCTCGGGCGTATTGCGATTCCCACGTGTTGCACGAGGCCTAACGCGGACCATTCTTGACTCGGAATCGATTTTCGAATCATTATATCGCATGCTTCCAGTCGTCTAATCGCCTGATATGTTCTCCACAGTCGCATCGTAAGTTCCACGCGCCCCGTCACGGTTCGACCGGGTTCTTGCCCCGCAAGAGGTGCGCCCGTCACCGCGGAAAGGTAAAGTCCTTCCCCAAGGATGACAAGACAAAGCCAGTGCACCTCACGGCTTTCCTTGGCTATAAATCTGGAATGACCCACATCGTACGAGAAGTCGACAAGCCCGGCTCCAGTAAGTACCTCGAATGGGTCCAGACCACGCGGTCTGATGCACCTCTGTTCTCGAGCAAGTGCATTCCACGCGAGACCCTGAAGGGGACCTAGCGAAGGGGCTAACCGATATGATGACCAAATCTAGAGCCTAATCTATTTTGGCTGATTCTCAATGATTATGAATGATAGGACTGAAGCGAAAAAGAGTTGTTGATTAGAGACCGATGAATTCAGATCCAGTTCGTAAAACGAACTTCTCCTCCCACAGAGGTGAACAAGAAAGAGGTTGTCGAGGCTGTGACCGTTATTGAAACACCTCCGATCGTGATCATCGGAGTCGTCGGTTACATCGAGACTCCTCGTGGTCTCCGAGCCCTGAAAACAATCTTCGCGGAACACGTGTCGGACGATGCCCGACGTCGGTTCTACAAGAACTGGTACAACTCGAAGAAGAAGGCTTTCACCAGGTCGGCGTTGAAATGGCGCCAACCGGAGGGTCTCAAAATGATCGAGCGCGACTTCAAGAAGATCCAGAAGTACTGCACTGTACGTTCACTTTCTCCCACGATCCTACTTCTTCATTCGAAATATTTGATTGTGATGAATGTTTGTATATTCATTCGTGGTTTCCAACGGATGGGGTAAAACCCAGTGACGGCCTACGCGTCTGATCCTCTCCTTAAGCATACGCCTAGCGTTCGGTTTCTGGGCCAGTCTCCTCAGACGGTTCCTCCGTTTCACAGGTTGTTCGAGTTATCGTCCACACTCAGATGTCGATGTTGAAGCGCCGACAGAAGAAGGCTCACATCATGGAAATTCAGCTGAACGGTGGCAGCATCGCCGACAAGATCAAGTTCGCTCGTGAGCACATGGAGAAAGCTGTTCCCATCAAGAACGTCTTCGCTCAAGACGAGATGATTGACATCATCGGAGTCACCAAGGGTCACGGAGTCAAGGGAGTCACCTCCCGTTGGCACACGAAGAAGTTGCCGCGTAAGACGCACAAGGGTCTGCGCAAGGTCGCCTGTATCGGAGCCTGGCATCCTTCTCGAGTCCAGTTCACCGTCGCGAGAGCTGGTCAGAAGGGTTACCATCACAGGTGCGTTTCATACAAGCTCATCCAGATTATCGCGTCTGGCCTCTTACTGGCTGCGCATGAAGATAACTTCGGTGCGGTATGCTGATCGGGCCTAAAGCATTGGTCAGTTCTAAAGTTCTGGGCGTCTTCCTGACTCTGGAGCTATTTCACCTGTCCAATATTAGCAGAATGAGAAAAATCTATGAATTATCTATGATGGAGAAATGAATCACAGATTCCGGCTTAGGCGACCTCAGTCCGTGCAGAAAACCTTTGCTGCCTTCCTTCTGAGAATCTTGACGAATTCTTTCATGGATGCCCCGCCGTGTAATGATCGGATCCAACCGCCCATTTTCTTCCGCAGGACTGAGATCAACAAGAAGATCTACCGCATTGGCGATGGATTCCACACTGTTGACGGAAAGCTCGTTTCCAACAACGGATCGACCGAATACGACAACACCAACAAGTCCATCAACCCCATGGGCGGTTTCAAGCACTACGGTGAAGTGAAGCAAGACTTTGTCATGCTCAAGGGCTGCGTCATGGGACCCCGCAAGCGAGTCATCACGCTGAGAAAGGTTCGTTTCGCATGAGTCCCGTAGGCTGGCTTCTGATATGATTTTTCCAAGGATGAAAATTTCGCAGGCATAGGTCAAATGATCCCCATGATTACTGTTGATAGAACTGAGAATCCTACCGGATCCTCAGTGCACTGTCCCGGAAATGCCGAAGCTTATCTTCTCAATCTTCCTTTGCAGAGCCTCATCACTCAGACGAAACGTGCGGCCACCGAGAGCATCACGCTGAAGTTCATCGACACTTCGTCGAAGATGGGCCACGGTCGCTTCCAGACCCACGAAGAAAAATCTGCCTTCATGGGACCACTCAAGAAGGATCGGCTCAAGGCGGAAGCTGCCGCAGCTGCCGCCGCCACCGCCGAGAGCGTTTGAGCGCCTCCGGCCGCCGATCCTGACGATCTGTTCCTCGAAGAAACTTCTGGACGGTTCTGAAAGAACGGCGAATAAAAGAATTCAAGAAATTCTTGACCCGAATTTCGTTATTGTTTTCCGTTGAAATCATGGAATTTTTTTGTTGGAGCATGGGTTGGCCGGTCCGAGTTTCAATGAATCAGAATCTGCAGCAGAACCAAAGCATCGCTTACAGACCTCCAGACGTCGACAGCGACTAGAGACCTATTTACGATGCGAAACAATCATCTCACGCAGGAATTACTCTACTCGTCAATTGGGTTGGGTCTAGAGCGTGTGGGACATCCCCAGTCGTAGCTGGAACTATCGGTCGTGGCTGATGAGCACACACCTCTTTCATCATAACTCTCAAGCAAAGCATCAATCCCGCGCGGTGAATTTATGGCGTTCGGGCTGTTCGCTTTGCGATATCATGCGACCGGTTACTTGCGTTGTGACAGAATGACTGAGACATCGCCTGCAAGCGTTCCAACAACATAGGGCTCCCGATATGCCTTCCGATATTGGTTATGAATACATTGAATCGTATCTCGAGCGTTCCGTCGAGAGGCCGATGATCCACTGGGAACGCTGCTTCGAGTTCCAGTGGACTCGGAATCCATTAGGAACACCAACACAGCGTCAAATCGATGCGCCGCACGTAGACCCGGCTCTGGATCATCTCTCTCTCCGATCTGGTGACGGCGCGCGCGACAACCATTCACACTGAAAATTATGTCGCTACCGTCGTACACATCCGCATCGATTCAATCCTCCCGAAACATTTCCCAGATTCGGAAGGTACACAACGGTGCCAAACCGAGTCGGATATTCCTCGTTGGTCAGTGTCGATAACACTGAGAATTCTGGAATTGTCTGAACACGATCGTAGCTAAACATTTGCTAGCATTTTCTGCACAGCTCTCGAAGAGTTTGTCCAACCAAGAGGTCAGGCTACGAGGAGCTGTGCCAAAGCAGAGGGTCTTACTGGCCGCGAGAGGCTCCTCTGCTTCCTCGGTCTTCACCTCCCGCACAATCTATCTCAAACATTTCTTCGGAGATTGTGCATCATGGCTGCGATCGCTGAACCGACGGGAGTTCTCGAAATATCGTTCGTGCTCCCGAAGAGGACGGCGATCCGAAGGATTCCAAAATAAATGCCGGGCAATTATCTTGTTTGCGAAGCGGAGCCATACTCTATCGCAAATAATTCCGTTGTCGGATAATCTCTCGCGAAAGGAAAAATCTATATATAGAAAGCAATAAAAGGCAACCCTATGATTTTGGTCGCTTCGAGTATAGACTAAGTAACTTATGACTAGTAGAGCGCCAAGTTGAATTTTTGGGAATTTATCATGGCAGAAGATGATTTACCATTGAGATTCCCGTGACGAGCCTGCAGACCTGGGGTTCGGATGTGGGAAGTACGAAAATCGTACGGAAATTGTGATATGAGGGAAAATACGGGGGGAACGACATAGATATTCGTCAGCAAAACGCTCTCTGAGTTATTTCACGATAGGTTTCTCGATTGAGACGTGAGGGCTCTCAATGTAATTCGCTATTTCACTTGGCAGTCTGTTGCGCAGAGGAACGAAGTCACGTTCGGGGGTTCGTCGACCTATATCTATCTTCCCGCCTATGGTCGAGAGCGTCCAGGGCTTGAAATCTCACAAAACGGATTCTCCCAACAGCTCTGTTTTGGAGAACATTCCGGGTATGTTGATATCTCAATTGATATCTGGTGGGTTCCCACGTAGATAGGCAGCATGTATTCGATGTGCGAGTCGGTGAGGGCGTGGTGTATTCTCTTCTTGCTGCGTTCCTGTGCTGAGCTGAGACCGCAAACCCTCTACCAGGTTTTGAGCATTCATTTTCGACGTAGACATTGAACTTCATGTCCAGTCGAAACGTGAGGTACGAATGTTCATTTTCGCTACAATCCTCCCCGTGGGCCTAGTATTGTCTTGGTGGGGGGATCACTGCCTTGTTGACGTTGATGACATATTCATCATCAGACGTCCATTCCATGACTCTCGTGATGCAGACTGAAGCCTCGTTGATGACTTTTGACACGTGGTTGCTCTGGAAGAACGAAACAGTATCGTCACCGTACGAGATCGTGGTCGTCCCTCCTACCGGATAAGGTAGAGGGATCATTCATCGGGAATCAACAAGGGCTGTAGGGAATCCCCGTGGTGAGCTTCCTGTCACGGAATTTCGCATCGAACATCTCATTGCGAAATCTCGGATCGAACACGTCCCATCCGATTTCCATGTGCTGGTGCGGAACCTCGAATCTTATAATTGGGCTCTGCATTCGATTCTTTCCGCTGCCGGAAGATTTTCACTCTACTTGAACCAGAATAGGGCCGGAAGATGTGCGACAGTGCACAGTTTCACGTAGCCCCGCCGCGTAGCCGCAGCTCTTAACGGACGAGAGGTCGATGGGCAAACGAACGGACCGACCGACCGACCGATCATTGTCACTTGTCGTCTCACCGGCTAACGTATGACTTGCTTTCGGAAACGCGATAAGACACGCTGTCCCGCTGATTGGGATAAGTCCACTTGTGCTCCAACGCTGACTTGTCGGCATTCCGGTCTCCAACGAACTTGACCATGTAGTAATGTCTGGAGTAGAATCCGGTGGGTTCTCGACTCGCGTCTCCCTAGAGTGCATCTATTGTATCGACGATTCGGAATCGCATCGCACACGGGAAGATATCGATTCGATGAGACCAGCCGCTCCCGGAGTTCGCTTGTCCAGGCAAGAACTTTCGGGTTGACTCGATAGCGGGTGGAATGATCAATCAGCTCATATGCTCATATCCCATGCCAGAATTGAAAAGCGCCAATCATTCCCTCCGTGGCGGGGGGTTGCAGAAAGATTTACGAGAGCAAGGGAGACTCGCGATTGACCCTTGCCTCGCGTCGCGGGGATCTTCCCTCGAGAACGCCTACGCCCTCAGCCCGGGAGCCTAGCCTCTCAGGAACACCGTGGGAAATACAGCTCCGCACTAGAAGATTGTGTGGCGCAAAGAAGAGAACGAGGAATACCGTGCTTGTTCCACATCACCTCCATAACTTTGGGAGCTGAAAACCGATGGTCGGCCACGAATACTTGAGCCGTTAGTCGGAGAACTCATCGGCAAGATAGATTCCGCGAATAGCGAGCCTCGTGTAATAATTCGCGAGAATCGATGGGAATCTCGTAACCAGGTGGTCTCCTCTGGGAAAAGTGGTGGAGAGAGCTCCCGTTTTCGTTTTCTGCAAGCATATCCGTCGATGATCGACTCCCAACCTTCTCCGCAATGCAGCCTCTCGAAGATTTCTCAGCCTCCAAGAGATTTCTAAGAAAATGGTCGAGTTCGCAGAGACTCTTTGTCTCTGGAGAATGGAGAACGATTATCTCTTGAATGGTGGTTTTGAACGTACGCAGGTTTCACTCCGTACCCAAGTTCATGACGTAACCGAGAGTCTTCTTGAAGGCTCCAAGAGGGGAACAGAGTGGAAGTCAACGAGCCGGCGATGTAGAGCGTATCTCTTTTTGCCCTTGAGAGCACTTATGTCGTGCCCATTCCACCGGGTTCGGTGAGGAGACACGGATTCGAAAAGAATCCACAAAACGTCTCCACCCATTAAAGGACAGAGACGGGACCTCCTGGCTTTACGTCAGAGTCTGAGCCGCCCTAACAACAGAAAGCGATCAAGACCCCGGACGTGGATCGCAGTGCGTCGCTCCTCAAGTACTCAAAACCGTGTAGTGACCAATATTGAGATAGAGGAGACTCGCTCCTAATGCGAAAGGATGATGGCCTCTACCGTGAGAGAATTCCTTTTGATTGCTCTCATGACGAGCATCGCGCGAGCTTCTAAGGAAGGTTCTCTGAGACTTTCTATCGGAGCAAGGATCACGACACATGAAGGCCAGGGGAACGTCGAGATTTTTCACAAGAATCGGTGGGGTTCCGTTTGCGATGACGAGTGGGACGAAGCCGAAGGCACAGTGGTCTGCCGAGCCTTAGGTTTCCGAGCCGTAGACGTAGTGACACACGACGGGGAATTCGGTGCTGGGCGTGAGTAAAGTTTTCTAGGGTCGAGACGAACAATAGCTCGAGGAAATACAGCCTTCAGATGATCGCTCATCTGATCTGTTTTCCATTCGTACCTTCAAGGACCGATATTGATGGACAATCTCATGTGTACCGGGAATGAGAAGAAACTCACGGACTGTAATTTCGATGGATGGCAGGTTCGGATCTAATGCGGGAGGCGATTGATCTTCGAACAACCACACAGTATAATATCCTCACGCTCACCGCGCAGGCTCATCCATGAGTGTGCCATTCCGGATATTCTCTCGATTGAGGACGGGGAATCCTCTCATTTTCAGAAATTCTCTTCATGCTTTCCAGGTGCACGACTGTGCCCCCACAGAGCTCGCGGGAGTGCGCTGTCTGAAGCACGAAGAGCCAGGCAAACCGCTGCCAGTTGTGGAGAAGAACGACGTTGTCATCGTGGATGCGCCACCGGCCCCCCAGAATTTCTTCGAATCCCTACGGGTAAGGAGGGGGGGGCGCGGGAATCTTTGAAATACCTCCGCGTTACTCCGACTCAGACCTGAGCAACTGGAACACTGCCAACATTAATTCTCGAAAAATCTCTTCTTTCAGAGAATCCACCCGAAGGATCTGAAAATTAGACTTCGTTCCGGGAGAACGGCAATGGAGGGTCGGGTTGAAGTTTATGACGATCGAAAGAACCAATGGGGCGTTGTGTGCGCGGATGGTTTCGGACTCCTGGAGACTATGGCCGTATGCAGACAGGCAGGTCGGCTCTATTCTATTATTTCTCGTTCCTCCATGCGAATGGATCTCTCGTTCCGCATGAATACATATCGGGATAAAGACATACACACGCCTCGCACTAAGTCAGAGCCTCAACCGGCTGCGTATCGGGATCTTCCGAATCTAGAGCGGGTTTTTGATGGCGACACGATGCGAGGGTTCTTTTTTCCCGGAGCTTCGATCTTATAACGTCAGAATATTCGAATTCGCAAAGGCTTCGCTTACGGCTCCCAAAGTGTTCGCGGATCTGCGTTCGAACGAATCAATGCAACCTTGTTGCCGACAATAATCGTCGGACTAAAATGCACCGGAGATGAGACTAACATCGCCGATTGCAAATACAGTACTCAGCTGGTGACGTGTCCGGACGATGAGCACGCCGCAGTTATTTGCGCTGAAGGCAAGTACCTATCTGATTCGACGTTTCTCCAATAGTCACTATTCTAATACGCGTCCACTCATTCCCAATGAGCGGCATTTCTCAGGTCCGACCGCGAACGTGCGAGCGGGCGATGTGCAGAGCTCGGGGAAAGGAGAGGAATCCCAATCGGAGGATCACCAGCTGGGAATGATTCTCACTGTTTTTTCCTTTTCCCCAGAACTACCAGATCTCGTTATCGACAAAGATGAGTTGGAACGAAACACGTATCTCGAGGATCGACAGTTGTCCTTCCTGACTTGCGCTAAGGAAGAGAACTGCCTCTCCGCATCAGCTTACACGGTTCCCGCCGAGAATTTCTTCGAGCACACTCGCAGGTGGGTGCGATCGGACTCTAACGAAGAAGAGCAATGCTTGAGCTCCATGAAGGGAGGGAAAGATTAATCTGCAGAATGAATCATCGGACATGAATTAATTCGATGAACAACAGGTTGCTGAGGTTTACAACGAGAGTGGCGAATATCGGCAGCATCCCGTTTCGACCTTTCCTGCCGAAAGATCAATGGATTTGGCATAGTTGCCATCAGTAAGTTTCCCTAAATCTGATTGCTTCGCGAGAGGGTTCAATTGAACGGGCGACTCGTGGTTGTGAATTCGATGCCTTTTCTGGCTCTGAGCCCCAGGTCAAGAGATTCGATTTTCCTTTTCCTCAGGCACTACCACTCGATGGAGGTCTTCGCTCATTACGATGTGCTTGATTCGAAGGGTGCCAAGGTCGCTGAAGGCCACAAAGCTTCTTTCTGTCTCGAAGATAATCATTGTGACGAGACAGCGACTAAGGTGAATCATTGGGAGGGCCGAGATGAGCATATCAGCGACTCCAGATCCGCATCGATTCATTTGAGTAGGTGAATCCTGAACGAATACACTAACCGTTTCACTGAACCAACAGGTGTATGCCTGCGCAAATCATGGCGATCAAGGCATCTCCGTGGGCTGCGTGGATACTTATCTCCACAACATTGACTGCCAGTGGGTCGATGTGACGGACATGCCCATCGGGAATTATACTTTCAGGGTAAGCGATGGGCGGCCTCCTATCTTCCCGGCTTTGCGTGGTCGAAAGCGATTATCTGCAGAATCCCTCAAGCAGTCGATGATTCCTCACGCATCGAATGAGCGTGAGCGAGGGTTCGATGCATGGTCCCGGTCCGGAGTATCGTGAGAAATTCCTAGGACAAGTTTCCTCGAGAGGAGTTCACGTATCGGACGCTTCTGGCGAAGTATCCATGGTGGATATTCCTCTCGAGGGCCCACCAGGAGTCTGCTGAGAGCCCTCTCCATCGACAAGCTGGGGCTCTGCTTCGAGCATGACGATAATGATAATCGAGGACCCTGCCTAGCACACTGATGTTCGCACCATCATCGACGGAGACGGAGAGATCGGTGTTGCAGATTACTGTCCCGTCGATACCTTCCTGGGACACGTATGCATTTCTCGGACTGGAGGAGGTTGTGAAATTCGTCACACAATTCCGTGTTTGTTCGTTTCCAGGTCCTCATCAATCCGGATTATAAACTCGCTGAGAGCACTTTCGATAATAATGGATGTACCTGCGAGTTGATATACACTCAAACCTATGCTGCTGTTCGGAACTGCATCTACGAGAGACCTTGATACCGATCGTTGTTGATATCCCAATCCCTCAATGTAAATTAAATGCGATGATCGCAAGACGGTCCCCCGTAAGGAGCGTACACAACCTTTCTAAAAAGTTAGATAAATGACGTGGAGTCCGAGAGTCGAGACTGGGCTCTGTAGAAAAACGCGAGTTGGCTAGGCATCATCTGAGAGTGAGGCCCGAACCCTGTGTAAAATACATACCCGTATATTGGCGAACCCTTCTGACTGTCGCAATAATCAGAGCGAAATGCGAAATGAGAGGTTTCAGAAGACGAGGTCGTCCAGGCGCACCTCGGTTCTGGTATGGGTCGAATGAGTCCATGAAATTCCGTCATCCAACGGCGTTCAATCCCTATATAGACGTGGCAAGCAGAGAGCTCGCGATTTCCGCAGCATATCGGGATCGTCTCTGACTGGGATAAGCAGGACGTCTTCTGTTTTTCGAAATCTCGTGCATTTTTCCAAATATTTCTTCCTTATGTTTGATGTTTTCCGACCGATGAGATGCGTGAACCAGGATGACCGCAGCGAGAACAAAGTCCCCCATCGTGTTTTTGACCGGAGCTCTCGGCTTGTTGAATTGAGCCGAATCATACGGTGACTCAAACTCTGGAAGAGCCGGAGAGAGCAATTTTCCAGTGCTACGAGCGTACCCGTGCTATTCAAGCGACATAAGACGGTAGCAAATCCTCGAACACAGTGAGGGCGGTATAATTCCAATGAGTCTGCGGAGGCGCACGGGTGCAAGGCTTAGAGGAGGGTTTCCCGATTTCCGATGCCTTTCGAAGCCCCACTCAGGCTCCACGGAGCCGTTTTGGCGGGCATCGGGCTCCATTTCCCAGACTCGGTTCCGATACTTCCCCCACCTCCGACGGCCATCCCCCTAAGTACACTGTATGAATGTGAACACAGAATTAATTCAGGCATAAACTCCGAAGAGAAACAAGGAAGATGATCCAGCTCCTAGCGGTCACGAAAAGGGCAGCAGCCTATAACCACACTAGTAGCTTGCGTTCGATCATCCTGTGAGTGAAATTTTGAGCACATCATTATCTTATGTTTTTTCATGGACAATCAGTCTTCAAGAAGCGGGTCTTGAGATCAGGGAACTATTGTGAAAGTAATAAGGCCAAGCCATCCTCACAGAGGGAAGCATCATGCTCATCTTCCATTTTTAATCGAGTCTGAGGCGAGTGTAATATTGTGCTGAGACTCCGGAGCACACAGCTCTGCTGCGAAAAATTTGTACTCGTGTTCGGCTCGCTGAAAGCCCTTGGATACACACGAGCGAGCGATAGTTCTTCTCCTCGAATCCCATACATTTGAAAATATTATTTTTGCGACGATACCGATATCCTGTGACTCCTCTGAGGCCCATGGTGAGCGATCTCTCGCTGTTGAAAGAATCATAGCCAGCAGGGCAGAGGAGAGTTGACCCGTCGTTTACCGGTTTTTCGATTCGAAGAGGGGCAACATACAATGCGCGCTAAGCTGTAACTCAGCATGGGGAAATCGGAAGGGCCCGTAGTCCCTGCTGTGTATCAAGACCAGACGAAGAGAGTAGAGAGAGGAAGAGTGTTGGATTCGCGCCCGAGTCCCGGTTCGTAGCGGAAGTTTCTAAATCACTGACGAGATGCCGAACGCTTCCCTGGGATAGCGAAATGGGAGATAGATGAACGGGATGCCTCTCCGAGGCTTCGAATTTATAACGCTCGGGGATTTGCATTCGCAAAGGCTCCGGCGACGGCTCCCGAAGGGTTCGAGGATCAGCGTTCGAACAAATTGGTGCAGCCTCGTCGCTGACGATAATTCCCAGATCCGAATGCACCGGAGCTCAGTGAAGAATCGCTGATTGCAAATAGTACAGTCTCCAGCTGGTGACGTGATGAGCACGCCGCAGCTATTTGCGCTGTAGGCAAGTCCTCATTCGATTTGTCGGAGTCAAAATAGACACTAATTACCGCCCAATTACGCCGAATGAGCGGCATTTCTCAGGTCCCAGCGGAGACGTCGCGGCGGAGCGAGCGACGAGTAGATGTTGGGGGCAAGTAAAGGAAGTGAGCCAATCGGGAGAAGTATCGGACTAGTTGAGGGTTGTTCTCGTGGAATTCACGAGATTGTCTCCTTATTCCCGGACTGAACCGTATTCGTGGAACCGAGCGACGTGGAGAGTACGAGAGAGGAGGACACGAAGCAGACCTTCCAAGGGAAAATAACGAGTGATGCTCATGTCCGGAGAACTTCTCCGCTCGATCTGAAGGAGTAGCGGAACCCCGTATCGATAAATATGGAATGGACCGAAATACGTATAAATCCCGGAGATCGGCAGCTATCCAATGATGTGCGCGGAGGGAGAGATCCGCCTCTCTGACTCAAATTACACAGAGCCCATCGAAAACTTCCTCGAACACACGCGTAAGAGGGTACGTCCCGATTCTCGGCAAGAGAGGCAATAGTTCGGTTCGAGCGGGAATGAGTCGGATTAGTTTGCGGAATAGCTGGGATGTTGATTAATTCGGTAAACAATCTGAAAAGGTCGCTGAGTCTCACAGCGAAAGAGGCGAACATTGCCAGCATCCCGTTTCGTCCTCTTCTGCAGAAAGATCAATGGGGCTGGCACTGTTGTCATCAGTGAGTTTCCCCTGAATTGGATTGGTTTTTGAGCGAAAACAATTGGATGGCCGACCGGCGGTGCGGCGGTGCATCTAAGTCCCCTTTAGGCTCTAAGCCTCTGCTCTGGAGATTTGATTTTCCTCTTGCCGGGCACAACCCTTCGATCGAGGTCTTCGCTCGCTGCGATGTGCTGGGGTTTCCGAAGACCACGAAGTTCGATTCTCAGCACAGGATAATCAGTTATACCTGACATTGAGCCAGATAAATCATTGAGGTAGCTGATGAGTGAACTGTCGCGACATCCGATTCATATCGGTCGATCCATGGGAATTCTGAAGAAATGCATCTATAGATGCGTTGTTCTGCTTCGACAGAACCATGTCGACAGAAGCATGCCTGCGCTTATCATGGCGATAGAGGTGTGCCGCTCTGATGTTTATCTACTCTGCCAGGGGGTCGATATGACGGACGTGGCCACCGGGGATCACACTTTCTGGGTGGGCGAAGGGGAGCTCCCGGTCTTCGAGCTTTTCGTAGTCGCGAGTCGAAGCGATCATCCGTCGAATTTCCTAGAGTTGTCAAAGTGTTCAGACTGTCAAGTCCTGGAAGGAAGCTTCTCCCAGTGTCCACCTATGTATCCTTCCTTCCTTCCTTCCTTTCTTCACCATCCCTGACGGGCCCACTCGCAGCTCTTGCCATCGTCGAGCTCGAAACTCGATCGGAAATCGAAAGGGATTTCACCCGGAAGGCACTCCCCAAACCCAGATTCCTACGCCATAATCCACAGGGGCTTGAGCTAACTCAACGATTTCGGCCCCTTAACTTCCGTATCCGAAGATTCGCCTCCTCTCTCTTGATCGTTCACTTCTCGACGCCTCCGAGTGCGCCGATGGCGTCCGATTAGACGAGTCGATGTCATCTCTCAATCCACATGCAATTTGTGGACCCGACCTCTCTCTCAGTTGTAAATCAGTTATGAGTCTCCCCCGATTCCTAACTGAGGAAACCCCGAAATTCACAGATTTCCGGGAATTCATATCGTTAGTTCATAAACATAATAATAACATATTCATATTCATATTCATGAAGATGAATTTGATCCACTTTGAAGACAGGGACTTCGCTTTTTCATGCTCTTATCCACTCATAAAGCCGGATGATAAGATGGATAAGATTCATTCCAATAAGGAATGATTAAACAATTGATATATGCCCGAAGTTGTGGTGCCGCCCAAGGCTACATCTATGACAGACTTTGGAACCGATCGTTGGCGATGTCTTTTTGCATCGAAGTGAATAACATCCAATTCCAGTGGAGCGATTCGTGGTAGTTGGCAGATACTATTTTCTCGCGACACCTCGAGAAGTCGTGACCCCTACTTCTCACCCTCATCACACCACCTCATCGATTGGTAGGCTCCCCGATGGCATTCCTAATACTAGAGTGAAAATCAGCGAGACAGCGTTCCCCAGACCGACGGACGAACCCGTCTAAATGCTGGTGGAATTGTTCTGCCCGTGAGCCATCTCTCACCTAGATAATTTTTTGACTCGCAAACGCCACCGTGGCCGCTGCGGTCGCGAGCATCACTAACGTCAGGCGTTGACGATGACGAGGAGGGAAACACAACCTGGAGAACAGGGAGAAAAGACGAGCGACCGTCGAAACGGAGGAAGAGCATCTTGATAGATGCGTTCATTGCCGCCCATCGGCTTGTTGGTCTGATTTGTGGCCAAGCTTCAAAGTAAACGATAAATGCTGCTCGGAACCAACAGAAAAAAATTCTCTCATCGCCGTCAGAACTACCGATGCTTCTTGATCTCGCGCGTTAAGTCGAACGAGAATCCCGCGTTCCGTTAGCCGCCTGCTTGAACGAGCCAAACTCACTCCGAAGAGGTTCGATCGGATCAAACCGATTCCGTACTTTGTGTAAAGTCCCTGGAAGATCCAAACTCGGGGGAGCCGCTCCTTCTGGAGCACACTTGAACTTCTCCTCTCTAGAGATACTTCCAAGACCTCTCGGGTAATCAGGGCTCCGTGCAAAAAGAGATTTCAGAGAACCCCTCGAACCAGTGCGACTCTCCTTGCAACGGGTGATAAAGCGGGCCTGCACTACCCTACAGCCCGTCCTCCATTCAATCAATTTCCGGGGCAACTCGGAGTAGATATCATCCGATTGAGGGCCGGGCGCCTTATTCGACCCGCAGTGTATCAGCGAGACGGTGTTTCGGACTTGAAAGACTAGTTGAGAGGGAGCCGGAGTCGGTTTCAGGATGAAAATCTGGAGGGGGAGAGGACCTCGATTCTGGACTTTCGCGAAACAGAAATCAGAATACGTAGGTCTGCGATATTGGAGGGAGACACAAGGGAACGCGAAAATCCGTGCAGTGGGATCCCAGATGCGCACATTTTCTGCGCTGCACGGGGGCTCTCTCGAAATACACTTATGGAA